CAGAGAAACAGGACTACACTGGAAAACAGAGCCAGCTCCCATGTCAGAGGATGAAGAGAGCACATCCAGTTAGTCACAGTCAGAGAAACAGGACTACACTGGAAAACAGAGCCAGCTCCCATGTCAGAGGATGAAGAGAGCACATCCAGTTAGTCACAGTCAGAGAAACAGGACTACACTGGAAAACAGGCCAAGCTCCCATGTCAGAGGATGAAGAGAGGATATATATACATAAATCATTCATCCCTAGAAGAACAATTTCAATTCCATCATCCAGCATTTTAATTATAACATAGCAGAATTTTTTTCTGGTAAACTTTTATTTCCCCTTTAAATCTCCAGCTCTTCCTGCTTCTCTCTGTTTAACAAGATGAATGAACCTTAAGATAAATTCTATCTTAAAATGTTTTATTTAAACCAAGCAGCTGCGTCCTGATGTTCCTTCACGGCGGGTTTTCTCCAGAACATGGTGACCTTTGTCTGACCTGGATCTTTGCAGAACTTTGAAGCTGCGGTCAAGCTGAACGTGTTGGTGGACGGACAGCCGTGGGACGACGCTCCGGACCTACAAGGTGAGTTCTGTCCCTCCCGGGTTGGACAGACGGGTGAGGACGTCCGTTTAACGCTGGTGTCCTCGACAGACGAAGAGGATCTGGATCTGGAAAGCCTTCTGGACGACACCATCCTGGAGACCACCAAGAGGCGGCGCCTCTACCCCAGAAGGATCCTTCCTCATGTGGTTCAGGCCCTGAAGGCCGAACGGAAAATCCTGGTTGGTTCATATTTCTTCTTTCCTCTGATTGGTTGATGTTTTCTAGAAGGTGAGCAGTCAGTCTGGGCCGGATCCCCAGGAGAACCGGAGGTTTCAGCTTCACATGAAGTGACCTTTGGGAGCAATGTGATGGTTCATTCCCAGTAACCCACTGGGTGCAGAAATACAGGCTAATTTCTGCCTCTTAGTTCTGAAATCAAAGTTCTGCTGTTTGTCTTTCAGGGCTTTTATAAAACCTCCATCCAACCTGAAGACATCCAGAAAGATCCGGATCAAGGTCAGCTCCGCCTCTCGTGTTTCTGATCTTTAAAAACCTCTAAAATAAATCTTTCATTCAGAGATTCAGAGGAAAGTTTTCTTCTTAGATGTACCTGCAGTGCACACTGCCACCAGCAGAGGGCGCCCTTTACTCTGTTGGAAAACAATTTCTAATTTCTGCTTCATGACCTAAAATAGATCACATTTTTCATAGTTTTTGCTCAAAGTTTAAAGATAAATATTTGTTTTTTCTCTGGGCTTAAAATCCACCAGAGTTTCTCAGTTAGAAAAGTAAATAAAACGTTTCTTTAAAACCAAATTAAGACAATAATTTGGTAAATGATGGTCCTGCATTACATCTGGGAACCAGAACTGTTCCGGGTCTGTTCCAGGTCCGTTCCGGGTCATTCCGGGTCTGTTCCAGGTCTGTTCCGGGTCATTCCG